TCAGTGGAAAAAAAAACCTTAAAATGGGGCATAGAAAAGAAGTTTCCCGACGCGACAGCTGCAACCGCTGTTTGTCACAAGCCCTCTTCCGCTTCTTTCGAAAAGGCTTCAAGAAGACTGAGCACCACATACACTCGCAGTGCCTGCTGGGTTTTGAAACTCAGACTGACGTGGCGAGCGCCAGGCATACAAAGAAAGATGGCGGTCGTTTCGTGGGCATCGGTAATTTTAGTCTTTTTCGGGTTAGATTTAACCCAGGGCCTCTATTTCCACATGGGAGAAACAGAAAAGAAGTGTTTCATAGAGGAAATTCCAGACGAAACAATGGTTATCGGTTAGTTGAGACATCCCTTTATGTAACGCAATTTTGGAATAATAGTACCTAGATTAGAGACTATTCTAAAGCCATTTGATTTTTATGGGTTAGGCTTTTCGAATGACAAGCAGATCTCTGGTAGTTCTGGTTGTTAAAAAAATTCCCACTGAAACTATTTTCTAGTTAAAGTAGCATACTGTTTCGAATCTGAAAATGTGTATTTAGTTTAATCGTATAATAGCCAGCATGTTGCATGCATCTTTACTTCAAAAGGCAAATATACCAGTTACTGAAGAAGCATGCATGCTTTACTATGAGTCATTCACCAGAAAACAACGTTAGAAACAAGGTTTAGCGGGTAGAGAAGGAAATAAAGAGCAATTTAGAGTTATTTAAGACCTTCAAATTATCATATTGGCATTTTACAACTTTGGGTACACAACTATATAACACCAAACTCTGATCTTTAAATACTTAAAGCGGACTAATGGTAAGCTAAATTCCTCTTACTTAATGTTGAGTTTCAATGTAGTAGTTACTACAGAGTATATCTCACTAACAAAATAATCAAACTTCCATCCCTCCAGTCTGAAGTTGTTCAAACACTAGACAATATTTATTAAATTTCAAACTCCAGATGATGTATTTTCAGTGTTCTGATTGGTTCACACAACTCTGCTTATCAGCTCATACACCAAATCAATCTTTATGAAATGATTTGCGCAAGTTTTGCTAAACTGGATTTACTTTTGGCTGGAGACAGTCATTTCTCCTGCATATTGTGGATATTTTAATTTGATAAAATAAATATTCCATTTGCACTTGTTGTGTATGAGAGTGGTTATAGCCAATTTGGTACTACATGCTTTGTTTACTATTTACCATCTCACATAAGATGCTCACTCATGGAATAATTGTTTAGTAGTAAGTGAATCTCTATCGGTTATATAGTTTAGCTTGTTTGGTCAACAGATATCTACTGGATGGCAGTAAATCCAGACCTGTCAGTATTTAACATATAAGTATATAAGTCTTGACAGAATTCTCCTGTGACCTTATTTCAAAATTAACTTAAGTGGTATTGCCTTCCCTGAACTAATGTTATCATGACAATTCAACAGGTAAATACAAGACACAGTTATATGATGAAAACATCAGAGATTTCCTTCCATCCAGTCCTGGTATAGGAATGCATGTGGAAGTGAAAGATCCCAACATGAAAGTTATTCTATCTAAATATTATGCATCAGAGGGAAGATTCACTTTCACCTCACATTCACCCGGTGAACACCTTATCTGTCTTCACTCAAATTCTACTCGATGGTCTTTGTGGGCAGGAGGAAAGCTGGTATGTCAGATTGAGCACACTTATAGTTAGAAGTGAACTCTTTCTCAACTTTGAGATGTATGATGTCCTCACTTTGGACTTTCAAGAAATAAGCTGGGAATTTTAGTGGTTGTCATTTCAAAGTATGGGTTTTATTGGTATCTTTTTCAGCGCATTCATTTGGATATTCAAGTGGGTGAACATGCCAATGATTATCAAGAAATTGCTGCCAAAGACAAACTTACAGAACTCCAGCTTCGTATTCGTCAGCTGTTAGACCAAGTAGAACAGATAAGCAAAGAGCAGAACTATCAGAGGGTAAGGGTAACAGAACACCTGTTTAAATTTTGAAGAAGATTTATAACAATTATAGAAAAAAAAATTTTTTTCACAGAAAATTCCAATAGTTAATGCAATCCATGCATATTTTCTCAAAATCCTATAACAATGCTAAAAGCAATGGTCAAACTACATCAAGTGTTACAATTGGAGCATGCAGCTTTAACAAACTTTTGAAAAGTTACTGTAGGATTATAACTTAATATGAGGATATACCTTTTTTTCCATAGTGATGAATTTTCTTATTTTATACTTAATGATTTTGTTTTCTTTGATCACAGTTTCGTGAGGAGCGGTTTAGAGCGACCAGTGAAAGTACCAACCAGCGGGTACTGTGGTGGGCTCTGGCACAAACTTTGATACTCCTTGTCACTGGATTCTGGCAGATGCGTCATCTAAAGGGATTCTTTGAAGCAAAGAAACTAGTTTAAAGAAATTATACAAGTTGTTTTAATTTGGGCTGAAGGACAGGATCCATTGAGCTCTCTTTTACTGCCTGCTCCTTATGTGGATATCATTTGCATGGCTTTCTATAATCTCAAGATGATAAAATTCATCAAAGAGGCTTGAAGACAACATCACAAATGGATTTAATTACTTTTGATTTCACTTTTGTTATTACCTTATAGAAATTTGTTATTTCTTGCTTAATCCTTTAACTCCCATGAGTGACCAAGACAGAATTTCTCCTTACAATATCAATACAATATCAAGCAGACAGGTGATGAGAATAGAGAAGAATATCAATCATGGGATTATTAGTTGATCCAATACCAAATTCTCTGAACTAACATCATAAGAATTGTATAGCAGATAGTAAGGAGAATTACTTATCAGATCTTGGGAGTGAAAGGGTTAACCTTAACTTGTCTTAATTAATCTTTTTGGCCCTTTTCTTTTGGCCCTAACAAGAGCTTAGCATTTATCTTTTTGTTTATCACCCTGGAAATACAGTCTGGTTTTGATAGCCTTTTACTAAAGGTCAAAAGAGACATTTCACATAATGAAGTACTATAAATACAGTTTCCATTTAATTGAAGTTAAGTCATAAATTCCTTGAAGTGATCACTACAACTTTTCCTCATTTTTTTGAATGCAACATCCGGCAAACAGGGCTCGTGGAAATACAAGCGTACTAGATGGAGAGTGTTACGTAGATAAAGAAAAATATTTCCTCCAATAAATAGCACTGACAGTTTAAGTGTTAAAACAAAATTTAAAGGGTAAATGGTTTGCTGGTGTGTCTCTACTAGCAATAAGATCATGGTTCATCAAAATGTGGATAGCACTACAGAGATTTAGCCAGATCTTTGATGACTATTGTTGGCATTGACTGGAAAAGTTTTTTTTTCTGTGGTGTACATTGTAGCAGAATGTTCCTCAGCCTATTGCCTCTTGTCTCTACAAGTTGTTTTTTTAAAGAGTATAACTTTTCCTCTGTCCGACTGAAAATATTTGATGGTTATGATCTTGGTTTTAAAGTGCTGCTCAAATTTAGTTATACTGGTCTTTACCTAAGATAATTTTTCATAGGAATTGAAATATTTTACCTTAATTTGCTGTCATGTTTCTTAATAAAGAAATAAACTTCATGATGTATTATAGTGTGGAAAAAAAACCTTGTCTCCCAGTCCCAAACAAGACAACCTGCAATAGCAACAAATAAATTTATACATGAATACACAAAGAAACTATGACCTAGATAAATTTAATTTGGTAATGGTACATGCATGAGCTGCTGTCATCCATTATGTTCTGATAGATTGGGAGTATGACTGTGTTTCATTTTTTTGGAGGAATGAAAAAGAAAAACTTAGAGAAAACCCCTTTTGGAAAAGGCAAATAACCAACAGCATCGTCTACCCAGGCTCTGGCAGTAGATGCTGGCTGGTACCCCACCAATTCCATCACTGCTATCTTGATTTTCAGCAAAGTGGAACTGTCTGCTGATTCTTTTAACAATTAATCCTGCTAATCTTAAGGAAGCTGTCTCTTCTTCTACTAAGATGTCAGAGAATAATTTTTTTTACAGTGTGAGTTTATCTAGAGATTACATAAGATAAAGCCAGAATAACTGTTAAAGATGGATGAGTCAAAGTAAGTCAGTGAACTTCTCTTCTCAAACATTTCTCCTTTATTTTATCCATAAACACCAATAAAAGAGCCTTGCCTTGCGGGAAAAAATCTTATGAATGAGTAAACTGGATCCTTTTACAGGGGAAGGGGCGGGGATTCATTAGGAATTCGATCGCGCAGTTAGAACTGGTACCGATTATGACTGCCTGTTTGTTTTTGACCGCCTTTTGAAAGCAACGGAAAACGAGGTAAGATGATTTTAATAATAATTTCTCTTTATAGATCGTCTAGAATCTTGCGCTGATGTGCTAAATGGCTTTAATGAAACAATTTTTACATAATATTTTTCCAGTGCTTTTCTTGTCGTCGGTTTATAATGATTTTACGGTCACGAAAATGGGGTATGAGGTTACATACTGCGCTTTGTTGAACTTGCCAACCAATGATTATTTAATGCCCGTGGAAAGGTTTTCAGGAACTTTCTGTTTTAAATCAGCTGTAAAAAAAATGGGAAATATTTCTTCATAGCCTTTAAGATTTGAAATTTTATACAATTTTATGTTATACTTTTTGTCCATCATGCTTTTCCTCGCTGTGTTGATTTGAAAATACGATCGATGTTGATCTGTGGTGAATATATAACTAAATGCGCATGTATATCAAACCAGTGATTTGCTTTTCATATGTGGAATTTAAATGTTCATCGTCCGGAGGTCTTTAGGAAAATCTAAATTTGTCGTCGTTCTCATTTGATCGTGGTATGTAGAAAATTCTCTCGATCAGACCTTCGTGAAAATTGTTTCAATATTCTTTTGACGATATTTTTAAAAGAAACTTCTAGATAATCGACCATACTGCTGTGTTTCTGATTACCATATTCTGCAATTATCTGTGTGGCTTTAGCTAATAAGATCGCTATGAATCTTATGGACTAGCAAAATTTTATTCTACTAGCAAACAACAAAACAGAGGTAGAAAACACCTGCATAAAAGGTAGACTGAAAGCATTTCTTATCGATTTTTTTTATATAAAGCATTAGCCAAACAATCACAGCTCAGTAGGCAAGGCAAGGTCACCAAAAGGTCAACTTAGAGTCTGTTTTCAGAAGATCACACCCTGTAGACAATAGGCAAGGCCAAAGAAGAGCTAACACTTCTAATATTCCAGTCAGTTTTCAGAAGATCACTGCTCTGTAGACCAGACAAGGCCCCAAAAAGGCCAACACTTCAATTTTCCAGTCTGCTTTCAGAAGATCATGGCTTTGTAGACAATGTAAGGTCACTAAAAAACTAATCTCTCCATTCGACAATCCATTTTCATTACATCACAGCTCTGGCAAGGCCAAATGGTGAAGCCACCAAAAAACTAACCCCTCCATTTTACTCTCTGTTTCAGTTGTGATGTCAGTGTTCTATGATGGAACAGTCCGTACCAGTTTCTGAAGTTAGCTCAGAGACAGCAAACGGGCCAATCCCACCAAATAATTCAACATTCCAAAATATTGAACAGGTAATAACAAAAATCTGTTTTTACTTTCTTCTTCAGATTTCTACCTTTTTTTACTTCCAACATTGTTACAAAGTTCACTGTTTTGCATGAAGTTTACTTGTACTTAGTTACAGAAAATGCTTGTTTACTTCTTTCTAACAGAGACTATGGATAATGAAAGTTTCAACTTATGTGCAACATTAAATTTAATATTTGTTGGGAAACGCTATACTGTATTTTGTTCATGGATTACAAAAACAACAAATAAAAGCAAGGCACTTGTGACATTTGTCAACAAATATGCTTTTGTGCAGGTCATGATTTGTAGAAAAGCTTTTCAATAGAACATTGTTGATCTGACAATAAAACTGTTCAGTTGGTACCAATTTATACTTATGAAAGGAGCACTGTGACAGGAAATTGCTTATTTGCCAGAAATGGAACACAACTGCCTGGACTTGCATGAGGACTCTTTTATATGTGGCTCAAGGCATTAGCTTAAAATTCGATCAAAACCACCTTGTCATTTGTTTATATTTGCAGCTTAACTTTATAAAAAGCAAATAATTTATTTGGCTGACATAATGACTGGTAGAAAAATGTAATAATAATTTTGATCTGTTCCTTTGAAAAGAGTCATTAGTTTGGTTTCAAAATTGATCATAGCTTAGAATATGTGTTGTACTTCAGCAATACCAGGAACAATGGCATATACTGGAAAATTTACAATCTGAGCTAGGATCAGAAGGACAATCTGAAAGCAGGCAAGACTCAGTGGCATCTTTTAACAACAGCACAACTTCAAATTCTAATAAAGATGCTGAATCAACTGTTAATCAACAAGAAAAGGTTTGTTTTTTAACCCTTCAACCCCTAAAAGTGACTAATATCTAATTTCTCCTTACAATATCACCCCGGAATCATACTTTAAGGTCATGAGAATAAAGAGAATGATCACCAACTGAAGAAGCAGTTGATTGTTAGACAAATTCCCCTTGTCTACACCTTAAGACATGAGTAAAGTAGGGAGAATATGCATACTGATGTTGTGATGGAAAGGGTTAGGGGGCATTTTGGAAGTGAAGTTGATTTTATGCTTTTTATCATAGTAAAGGTGGTGGAGCAACACACCTATCAATCTGTACATGCCCTTAACATGTTTTACTCTCTCCTGACTCCTACAGGAAGGCACTGAAGAATGGTTTATTCTTGGTGAGGACCCAGTTGGAACTGACCAGGAGAACACCTCTGAAAATAAAAATGTTGGAGGAAAGGAAAACATATCTGGTTCTGAACAGGAGCGAGAGGGAGAGACTGCAAAACAGGTTGGTGTGGCAAGAATACAAGTCTGTGTCTACATATTTCACGTGTCACTCTTCCATTTAATACAAGAATGATGATTATTTAACCATTTTAATTATAAGACATAATTGGACTTTGTTTTGTCCAACAGTTGTCTCCTTATGCAGAGCAGTGGTTTGAGTTAGAGCAACTAAAGCAGAGTGTACAATCTTTGAGTCAAGTGGCAGGTTTGCCACAGTCACCCCAGCTCAATGAAACTGTAGCCAGTGGGTTAAGCAGTGGTTCATTGAGTGTTGAAACGCTTGAAGAAGTTGGACTTGAAGAGATAGATGCTGTGCCACAGGAAGGGAGAGTTGGGGAGGGTAGGTTACAAAATTAAGTATTTGTAATCTGTAGTTATGCTGAAAATATGCTTGTTGGCTGAACTTCTCCATAGCCTAGTATGCTCAGTGCATCAGTTGTGAGTAATTTAACCCATAAGCTAATGCAGTGGATCTATCCCCGAAATTGAATGAACTTTTGGCAAGAATTATTTCATACTTTATATGAGACATCCTGAAAATTGAGGTGTACAATGTTCAGTATGTACTGCCATCAGCACCTCCAGCTGTAACTTGGGGAGAAGGAAAATTTTCAGGAACTAGATTTGCAGTAAAAGTCGCCAATGATGCAACTTTTGTTTGGCAGTTATGTAGCAAGCTGTTAAATTTTTGTGATACAGTGTTTATGGTTGCAAGTAATGATAAGATTTATATTTTGCACAAAACAGGGAGATGTTGCACAAAATTTCCTTTTTAG